TGGCATGAACATGAGCAGTCATTCTCTCTTCTTGACTAAAGAGACGATCCAAATGTTACCCCTAAGTCCCAAATCCTACTCAAGCCCTTCACCAGCAGGTTCACATCATATCTTTAAAACCCAAGCAGATACTTAAGGAGTTGAATTAGGGTTGAAGTCCTAATTCCTCATTTGCTCGGCTCATAATGTCCTATATCCACTGCTTCCAAACACAGGCTCAGTGAAGTGGGACAGGACTGTGGAAGAGTCAGTGGAGATGTTCAGGAAGCTGATCTAATCAAACCTCATTCAATAACCACTCTGCTCAAGAGTCAAAGAGTAGAAGAAAATGGAGCCAAAGAATAGAAGAAAATGAGCTCCTCTCCTGCTCTGATCTCAGTTTTACTCTGCAGAAGCCATCTGACCTGAGTTACCATTTGGTTGTGTWAAAGGTTAATTTTTCTCACTACTTGGGTGCAAGGACATACACAGAATTGTCACCAAAATGTAAACACATATACAGTGAATTTCATGACTATTTTTTTTCTCCTATTATAAAGAGAAGAKTGACTCCCCTGAAATGGAAAAAAGCACACTATATTCTAAACATGAACTGCAAAGAAGCATCACCACAATGGTACTGTTGTAACATTCAGAACGTCAGCAAATTAAAAATCTTCCACTGAGTAATTGCATTCGTAGAGAAACTGTGTAATGCTTTGCCTGGAAATGACATCCTCTTGCAATTTACACACTAACCCAGGGAAGATAAATGACTCTTGGTCTAGTTTCTGGTGGGAAATGGGGAAGTGACATGGGAGCAAAAAAGGTGTTGATCACAGAATTTGAAATAGATAAGGTATAAAAACAAGACAACAAGAAACAAACCTGAAGCATCTCATCATGTATGTAAAACACGCAACTCTTCATCAACTTGAATTCCTTYTAATTACCTACTGCAGTGCAATTGTAGCATATTTTAAATGTAGCATATTTTAAATGATAGGATGGTTAAAGAAATTCCTGTGGGAGGTAATGCCTTCTCTGTGACCACAAGATAATTTACTAGATTTTAGTAATGTTCTTCATCGGAGTTACAATGGCTGCAATACAGCGAAGGAGAGGGATTACAATGAGGTATTACATTCTATGCATTCCTACACAAGTGTGGGAATAGCCAGATGTGCTCTGGAAGAAGTAAACTGCACTTGCTGTGACAAAGGGACCTTCTGAGTGACAGGACTAAAGCATTATGAAAGATTATGAAGAAACCAGTAACAGCATGTCTGTGGTTATAAAGATAAGGCAGAGGTGTCTGTACTCTGGTTTACCTTCCATGCATTCATGTTTGGCACAAACATTTGTTAGCCAAGAACAATGAATTTTTACTTTTCACAGTACCTATGCCAGTAAATGCAATTATTCAAATGCCTGCAGGAAGCAAATGCCCAGCAGGCATGTATGTTCTAATGTAATTCTCTAGCAAGTTTTGAAAAACAGCCRAAGAAGCACAAAGAAGTCATACTTTGTAAACAGCTCTCTGAATTTTCTCATATATAAATATTTCCACTAACCTCTATTTATGAATATTTTCATATGGATTTCTCTGAAATAGAAGAGAGATGTAGAGTACATATTTCATTTTTCTGGACTTCTCCAGACCTACAGAGCTCCTCTGGCTCTCTCAGACAGCACTAGCTCTACATCCACTGTTGTGGGTTTGGGTTTTTTAAAMAGAAMATGTTTAACAGTCTGTTTTTAAYTWGAGTCTGGTTTTAACTTGATSGCTGTGATGGAATTTTATTTTATTTTTATTCTTGCATGCCCAAAGTGCCCAAGCCAGTTTCACATATATAAAACTTGAAWTTCCCAGTTTACACAGTCCTGTGATGATGACTGGATGGCTGCCTGTMAACTCTTGCCATAAGCTTTCCTTCCACACATTTAAAAATGATAGGAACATGAGGCGGACTTCAGAGTGTTTCTGCAAAGGGCCTAAACCAATCCGTAATAATTTTAGTATACAGCAGATTCTTATTCTTCTACCAAAGTACCAGCACAGATGTAGTATGAGGGACTGACAGAATGATTATTATATATATCCACTTCAAAATATTATTTATATCTATTGCCAAAATTGGTGCCAAACTTTGAAACAGGATGAACAGCTGAATACGAGATGTGCCTTAATTCTTTGAAGTGAATCTATTTCCGTCACTTCCTTCAATAGATGGTATTGCAACATTTTAAAATTCAATTGTACCATCTAGTTCTTCATTATGCATACCTTAAAACAGAAAAATCCATTATCTGTTCATTCAAAGTAAGAATGCAGATGTGATATCATTTGCATCTTATCAATAATCTCACTGGTACATCTAAACCGGAGAGCAGAACTGAATAGTCAATTTATTTCCCATTCAAACTGAACCAAAAGATACAWGAAATGACAGGRYCAGCATCAGAGATGSAACAGGAGCCTGGAGTTCCTGACTTTTTGAAATGCCTTGTATTCTTAAACATTTAACAAGAATTTATATTCTTATTTAGTTTTTATGCTTACAATTGCACTTCTCAGACTCAATATATATCAAATTAATTTCATGTTTTATATTTACCTGTGTATATATGTGCTGTGAAAATAAAAACTGTTCTTGTGTGTGATTCAAACCTCAAAGATTCCCCAGACCTTTGGGGGAAAGTTGGCCTTTCATGGCAGGCCCAGCAGGAAATGGCAAGCAGAACACAAAAGCAGCACTCACTCTTCAAAGCTCAGAGCTTCAGAACACGGCCCAATGTCCAGATGGAGACTGGTGACAAGGGGTATTCCTCAGGGGTCCATATGGGACCAGCACTGCTTGATACCTTCATCAGTCACACAGACAGTGATATCAAGTGCACCCTCAAAAAATTCACAGATGACACCAGGCTGAGTAGTGTGGTTGACACACCTGAGGGATGGGTCACCATCCAAAGGGACCGGAACAATCTTGAGAACTGGGCCCACGGAAACCTCATGAGGTGCTGCCCCTGGATCTGGACAGCTCCTGGGATCCACACAGGCTGGAGATGATCAGATTCAGAGCAGCCCTGCCAAGAAGGCCTTGAGGGTGCTGGTGGATGAGAGGCTGGACATGAACCAGCAATGTGCCCGGGCAGCCAGAAAGCCAAACATGTTCTGGGCTGCACCACGTGGCCAACAGGGCATGGGATGGGATTCTGCCCCTCTGCTCTGCTCTGGTGAGACSCCACCTGCACTGCTGCATCCAGCTGGGGTCCTCAGCACAGGAAAGACATGAACTTRCTGGAGCAGGTCTAGGGGAGGGCCACAAAAATGATCAGAGGGCTGGAGCACCTCTCCTACAAAGACAGGCTGACAGAGCTGGGGTTGTTCATCTCAGAGAAAGAAGACTCTTTAGTAGCCTTTTAGTAATGAAARGGGGATTATAAAAAAGATGGGGACAGGCTTTTAAGTAGGGTCTGTTGCAACAGGAAAAGGGGTGATGGTTTCAGAACAAAAGAGGGTAGATTTAACTAGGCGTAAAGAAGCAAATTTTACAGTGAAGGTAGTGAGACACTGGAACAGGTTGCCCAGAGAGGTGGTAGATGCCCCACCCTGAAAACATCCAACACCAGGYTGGATGGGACTCTGAGCAACCTCATCTAGTTGAAGATGTCCCTGCCCATTGCAGGGGGTTGGACCAGATGACCTTTAAGGTCCCTTACAAACTAAGCTAATCTAGGARTGTGCATATTCCATTGTCTTGGATGGTATTACCACACATCCTTATGGTAGGACCTCCTTATGTGTATCTTCAGCTCCACAGAAACAGCCAGTGGCAATTCAGACTGTCAGAAATTATTACAGTGCCCTTTGTGATCCAGTTCCTCCTACGAATATCCTATAAAATTGTTTTCCTTTTGATCAAACATTTCTTTAAGGGACCAGGAGAGCTGACGAGGCTTGAAGAAGTTGATTTAATCCATCTCACTATAAACTGATCCCTTGCAATAATTGTGAAGCTGGACTTTGTTAGTTTTGGCAGGAGTTTTCTGCAGATCCTAAAAAGTTAATGAATACAAAAGCCTGTCTCTTTCACATTTGTTCTTTTCTACATCATTATTTTCATAGATTGGACAACTTTTCTCTGCTTAACATAGACTCATTGAAAAATTGCTCCTGCGCATCACTGTGTATATGCTACCCTGCAGCACTGCTCAGTCAAAGGTGAGAATTCAGTGATCCCTTATTATTCCTTATGTAAGTATACAAAAGCACAGAAACAACAGGAAAGCCAGATTTGCAGATGACTGCACAACAGCTATCTCTGCTATGCTTGATCTCCAGCCTACAGGAAACAGCAGAAACTTTATCGATGGTGAGGTTTAGATCTCTTCCACAGCAACCTAAGCACAGGTCTATCCACAGTAGAGGACAGTAGAGGACCTAAGCACATATCCTGCAACAGCATTCTGATAGCTGAGCTTCTCCTTTTCATTTAATCTCCTGTTTCCTAGGAGTACAATGTTTCATGATGAAAATTAACTTGTTTTCTAGGGGTAGGATTCATCTTATTCGATGCAAATGTCTTCATTGTCTATCTGAACTAGTGACACTTGGCTTCCTTCACAGACAATGTAATACAGAGCAAAAAAAACCCACTTCTATGGTAAGATATACCTGACTTACATAGACATTTACTTTTGGATATCAGCAAATGCAAGAAAAGCATTTTTCTCTCAACTGAGTATCAAGACATCCTGGCATGAATGGGTCTGATTTAGATTATCTACCCTGTAGACATCTGTCCTTGATCAGATGATCCCACCCCCAGGTGGCCCAAATTGGACACAGCAGACAAACAACTTTACTCATTGTTTTTACATAACAACTGCGGTTAAGCAAAACCGAACTAGAAGACAGTATCTGTGGAATAAAAAAAAAAAATCTAGTGTTTACTGCTGTGATATGAAATCAGTGATTTAACAATCTAAACAGAGACAGCTTATCAAGCCCTTACCTTTGGGGATAGTAATCTGACAGCCCAGGTCACAGTCCTGCTGCAACTGATAAAAAGCCACTTCCTGCAGCCGAGCACGCTCCAGCTCTGAGAGGCTTTGAACGGGAACTGACTTCAGCCGAACGCTGCGCCCTGACATGCTGTTCCAAGTGAAATCACCCTACAGGAAATCAAATGGAAAAATATGAAGCATCATATGGTATGCACAGTTTAATAAACAGAACCATCTCTTTTACTGCTAGACGAAAACAACATAGGTTCTTCTTACCAAAAGACCATTTTCTTGGACATCTCTAACCTTTCAAATATCTTTATTTTCCCTAGAGCAACATTCCTTAAAAGGGATATAGACATGCAAAACAAGAAGTCAAWTCTGTCTGAAGCCATTTAATCAAGTATTGTTACAAAAACATTAGGATTCCAGTAACAAAAAGCACAATGCAGAGAAGAGAGGGCAAACCTTTGTCTGCTTTTTTCAACTGTTCTACAGTTTGCTTTCTCTTGAAAGTACTTGATCATCACCTATTTCTTTTCCCATGCCATCAGTAATAGATGCAGACCTCCAAGGGTCTGTGGACAACACCTTGCTAACCCCACTCCACCAGAATTGGACAGAGCCCCTTTTCTGACACATCCCATATCCTCCTTAGGACAATGTGATGTTTAGAATACAATCAACTAAAGCTATTCCATGTTTTTGARGAGCTGCAATAACAAGGCTTTTATTAACATTTATAGAGGAAAACAGCATGAGATGTAGYATATCTCTGAAAGGTACCAATTAAGTTTGGAAAGCAAACTGAAAGCTTTAGCTGCTGTGTCTCCCACCTGTGAGAATCTATACAAAAAAACTGTTCTCGTGATATTTAGCTTGGGCCAGAGAAGTAATCATCACTCAAAGAGAAGACCAAACACAAAGACAAGCTTAAAGGCTGACAAKTAACTTAAGATTTTCAGAATTCATTAAAGCATCATCAAAGAGCACAGATTAGTACTACAGGGAGAGAAAGAATTTATTTTTCGTTCTAACCATGTTAAAAAATAAACACCAATCTTGTCAGTAAGWATAACCTGATGCAGCTGTAGATAATGAAAAAACCTGATGTACATCAGCTGGGCTGTAAGACAAATCCACCAACCTGCCTTTCATCACAGATGTACAATTAACAAACTTCACTCTCATTTTCAGTTTAAATTTCAACATCTGTACCTTCACTGCATATTCATTTTTTTCACTGTAAACTTATAATTCATGTGTTCTGCACATCCATCTGCACAGGATGTCCATTGACTTAAAACATTATTGACTGCAGCTCCTTAATATGAAAGCAGTAAAATTTGACTTTAACAGTTATGCATCCTGTTGTATGTAAACATATTTGTGCACATTTCCATATATTTTGCCCATATATGTGCATGTATATTTMTATGCACACATACAACCAGCACATACCTTTGTATACAAACATATACATGCTGACTGTGTGAGTGTATATTCACATAGAKGAGATATGAGATAAAAAACCATTTACAAATGTGCAGCACCATTTAGCAGTATAGATTAAAGGAATTACATAACTAATGCCATTTCTTGTGATTCATGATGTATGCCTGAGTTCAGCAAGGAATTTTTTTTTTTTGCCAGAGTAGTTTCTGCAAGGCATTGGGCATTCCTAATAGATAAAGGCAATACCTCAATGTGAACAACTGCACCTCTATATAGCTAATGCATGTACTATGCTGTCTTTATGGTATTCATATRCACCTGGGCCACACATGCAAAACTTCCGTGTTGGTCCACTATTTGACTACTGCAATTTATTACTTTTTTCTTTTGCCTCTTCACCTCTTCTTCTTCTTCTTCTATACTGTTGACTAACCAGATTCAGAAATCTCAAACTAAAGGTTAGCATGGTATCACAAGCCAAGCTGAATAGCTTAACTCAAGCAAAACCAAACCATCAAGAGTTACATAAACCTTATTTGCGAAACKGCAAGTAAACATTTACATTTTTTAAAAAGCTGTTGTCATTTATAGATAAAAGTGATCAAGAACAGCATCCACAATCAGATCCACAAACAGCACAAAACTAATTCCTTTCCAGCCCTGATAATGCAAAAGAAACTTTACAAGTACAAAAGTATGCAATTCAGTCCTCATGAACATGTAATATATAAAATATTCTATAATCAAAATCATGCAGACAGAGAAATACAGGTCTTTATGGTGGAGTCTGGAGCTTTTTTATCTTAGTTATTTCTCCAAAATGAGYGTTTTCATAAACAAAAATATCACTGATATGTCTACCATAAAAAATTTCAAAGCCAAACACTTCATATCAAARCAGGAATGGTAAGCAAAAATTATACCCCTTAGAAAATGTTAKGATAATAGAATACTGTTTAGGACACGTCCTGTTTCCTGTAGACTACAAAAACCAAGGGCAGCATGGGACTTTAAGGAATTATCACAAATTAAGCAAACATTCCTTAACTGAATTCTGCATGAACACATGAATTATTCCTCTTTTTCACTTAGATTTGCCCTTGGCAATTTTTAACTCTGGAAGTAACTCCTCATCCTCAGCCTTATCTCTGAGCTGGCTCTGTTACTGCAAGCATGAGCTGTTCCACTGCCAAGCCCAGCTCCAACATCAGCCCTGCTAAAGCAGGTGACCCCTTAGACAGGGCTTGCAAGCTGTGCTACAGCCCTGCACCAGCATTTTGCTCTGGGGACTTCTGCAAAGCTCTCTGCACAGAGCTGGGCTGCTTTATGTGAGCAGAGCACCCAAYTCAGCGCTACCCAAGCAAACCTCACCCTGATATGGGAATATCCCACCCTTCCACCCAGKCAACAGTAGGGTCACAACCCCTGGRGGTAYTTAWAAGATGYGTAGAAGTGGCTCWTAGGGACATGGTTTAGTGRTGGACTTGTCATGYGGGGTTAATGATTGGACTTKATGATCTTAAGTCTTTTCCAACCCAAATGAGTCAAGGAWTTTTTTTTTTTTTTGTTCTAGGAACTCAAGGGTTGAAAACCAATGCAAAGGCAAAAGCACCAAACAAGGTTATGAGGCCTGTTCTTTTCAAACCTGATTTTTATTCTGCCAGTTTGCAAACCCCCTCCACGTTCCTGGTGCTCACTGTCTAGCTAAAAACAGTGGTTTGCAACATCTGCACCTTGTAATGCAAGGATAGGYTGCTGAGCATCGATAAAGAATGTGGAATCACTCTGCCCAACTGCTGTGCTAAAGAAGACATTCCTTTTCAACACTTGATGGGTTTGATAAAATCTCTGCTAGGTCACATTAACACAGGTTTTTATTATGCTAATGGAACACATGACTAATAAACTAAAATACTTTTGGAAAATCATGTGGTASGTAGGGCCAATGAAATCTCCTAATCTTTAAAGGCTCAATAAATGTTTCCTTGAAAAAGTCTGTTTCATTTTAYAAATATATATCACATATATCACTGTCTTCTGTGAGTCAAAACACAGTGTTTGAGAATTTAATCTATTCAAATACTCCCATGCTTTACATAACACAAGGTAAATTGAAGGCTTCATCTTCCTCCCAGAGCACTGCACATTTATACAAACAGCCTGTAAATTATTGCAAAATCATCCAAGCTTGGGAGAGGTCCAGAAAAGTCAAGCTCCCTTGAAGAATGGGTGCTGGTGAAATTACAACTGCCTAAAGCTATTCTGCACCCTGTGGGGTAACCAAAGGAGGAWAAGGGCAGCACAGACATGAAGAATATTTTCTGTCTCTCCATATGAAAAACAACACTTCATCAGCCTAATTCAACATCAGCCTGACACTACTGGAAGCTTAAAAGGAGCAGAAGATCTTTAAGCAACAAGTCAGAATTACTTGGTTTGTTTGGTTTTTTTTTTTTAACATGCCCATATGTGTTCAGAGATAGCACACAGGTTGCTCTCTATTATTTAGGTTATAGGACAGTAGGACTGAATATGATCTGCAACTGACTCCTTCATCACCAAGAAGGAAAAAAAAAGGCAACACACACACAGAAGAGTACAAACAGAAATACTATTCTGGGATAAAGTGATGAGCCTGACAGGACAAACTAACTGCAAAGCTGATTTCATAAATGAATTTTATAAAAACATAATCTAGACTAAAAGCCTTCTCTAGTTTCTTCCACYAACCAGTCATGTATTTTTCCTCTCAAGCCTGCAACTTCAGCTGCATTTTCTCTCTGGCACTCCCATTAACATCTAACATCTTTSCTCCACTCAACCGAGCAGTTCACTTACCAGGTAACTACCTAAAATACCAGAGCAGATTACTCAGCAAAGGAGATGACAGAAAAACTGCATCTGCTGCCTCTGACGATCTGAATCTGTYCATTTTCCCTCTACTTCTTGTCCACAGTCATAAGCACACTTTTAATAAGATGCAGACTGCAGTTCTACTGATATTCTTTCATGCATTTTTCTAATAGGTTGGATGTTTGGTGGCTCCAAAATAAATAYTAAGTGGTACATCCTGACACTGTGCACTTAAATTACTCTTAAGCACGTCTAAGCTATTCTTKTGTGCCTCTTTCTCCTGAACCTCCAACACACAATCTTTCAGATGTCTTTCAGAAAAGTCTCATTCTTCTGCCTTTTGTACAATACAYAAAACAGCTGACTATTGCATGGAAKGCAGAATGTAGATACAAATCTATGGGCAATGATCAACCTCAATTTCTGTGGAGTTTCAAGCCTTAGTGAGTTATGTGGATGGTGTACAGGCTGGAAATAAGAACCCTCAGCTCTTATTTATTAAAACGTAAATTTTAATGCAAGATGGAGAAAGCATTTTTTATTTATGCCTTACTGCTATTGTTAATGACTTTAGTCTGTACTCATTTAGGTGAACTGCATAATCAGATTAGCTGTCTACTTTTCATTAGTCTTTTGCCCAAATCCATTTGAAACCATAAAGATCCAAACCAATTATGTCTACTTGGTTTTCTTCTATCCTAGCAAATCCTAGCTATGTGCTTATATTTAGATGGGTGTCCMCTGTAAAAGAACTCAGAGGTTTTGCACAAAAAGACTATATTGCAAATAACATGGCGAATACATTATTAGAGTGTCTTAATTCTGTTTAATTAATCACTTCTTTAAGCTTCATGAAACCA